CTGGGCAACCTGGGCCAGGCTCTCACCACCCTCACACCAAACAAGTTCTTCCCCACAGCTCAGCTCCATCTCCCCTCTTGCAGGGTCCAACCCTTCCCCCTCCTCCTAGGGCTCCTCTCCCTGATCCAGAGTCCCTCCCCAGCTTTCCTGGAGCCCCTTGAGGGACTGGAAGGGGCTCTGAGGTCTCTCTGGAGCCTTCTCTTCTCCAGGCTGAACCCCCCAACTCTCTCGGCCCCCCCTCCCAGCAGAGGGGCTCCAGCCCTCCCAGCATCTCTGTGGCCTCCTCTGGCCCCGCTCCAACAGCTCCATGTCCTTCTGATGCTGGACATGGGTTATCCTGTCTCCTTTCAGTTCCCAAGGAACTGTCCTTGCTGTGCCTCCCAAAGAGGCTGTGTGATGGAGACAGCCTTTCTGCTTGTAAGACTGTGATGAAAAGCTGCTGCTGACCCTGCCAGGCCTCTGCTGCGTGGTGGTCTAGTGCTCTGTGGCCACCTCAGCCCCTCTGTTTCTTTTTGGAGACAGCCTGGTCTCTGTGCTGGATGTGCTGAAGCTGCTTTGTCCTGCTACAGCTTGTTACTGGGGATTGAAGAACCTTGCTTTTTACCACCTCCTCCTCCTTGTTCCTGCAAGAACTGTGGCAGGGGAGGAGGTGATGGGGGCTTCTGCTGCTGCTTCTCACATCCTTTCACCTCAAATGTATGTTTTTTTGAACCAGGGAATGTGTTATTGCCCAATCTGTTGCGTTGTGTAAGTTCCTTGATACACATTTCCAGCTGGAAAGAGATTGGCACCTACTCCGTGGTCTGTGTGCACAGACCTTTGTGTATGCCCGTGTTGTTCAAATATCCCTATTAACTTAGTGGGATGAGACACAACTCTAAAGATTAGTCTGTCTCCGTGTGGTTTCCTGTGCCACCACACCTTCTTCTACGTGTTTGGCCACGTCATCGAATTCCTCATTCTGTGCATCTGAATAGTGAGTCCCACAGCTTCAACCTGTAGGAGTATGAATGACTCTCTGTGGTTTTTGATTAACCAGGAGGTGGGGTGTGTTCATGGAGTGGGTGCCTGAAATCTGTGATCTGTCCTGTGCATTTTGCTTTGGTTATAGTCGTTTTCCATGTTCTTTGGCAATGCATTTGGTTTGTATTGGTAGGTAAGAGGGAAGGAAGGTTTGAGGTCAGGAATCTGGTGGGGTGAATTGTTCTAATTTGTTTATTTGTTTTGTGTTTTTAGAGAAAGAAGAAACTTATCTGTGCTTCACTGTGTTGTCTGCTAGGTACTTGATAATACACAGCTCTTCCAACAAGCCATAAATTAATAAATGTCAGCAGCAGCTCATATCATTCATAAGGTGGTGTAGCAAAACCTGGATTTAGGCCTTTATTTGAATCATCATCCTTTTGCTTTAGTTCTCTAATATATATTTGTGGCTGAACGTTTACGTAGCTGGACATACAGTGTGATGATGAAGTAGCCAGACTTATATCATCGGACAAAAGTGTTATATATATTTAGTGTTTCCATCATTATCTCAGTCATCGTCCACTGTTTTTCTAATTTTTAAAGGATATATCCATCCTGCCCAAGGCAATGTGTTTTTTTATACTGTACATATATATTGTGGGCTGCTTTTATTGCATTTCACTAATTTTAAGAAGTGGGTGTACTTCCTGGCCTTATGTTACAGCATCATTCTCTCTTTCTTGAAGCATGAGTAAATTTCCATTTGGTAATCCATGATTTTTTGCTGTTAAAAGTCATGAATACACTCTCTGTGATGTTCTGCCTTTACTCTGGCTGTATGGAAATTGATTCTTCAGAAATTACAATGGTTCGTCAACGTTCCCACTTCTTACATCTCTTTATTCTTCATTCATTGATCTGTTATTTCAGGCACACAATTTGTTCTGCAGCCTCTTGATATGTGCTCCTAATAGACAATTTAGTGAACTGTTCATAATTTTGTGATTCTGGTTCAGTCATTGCTACTGCGGCATTGAATTTTGTGGAGAGCCTCTCCATTTGCTTTTTAAAAATTAAAATGGCAACAGAAGTGCACAGAACATGGTGTTGCAGCTGCTTCTAACTGCCGGTTAATCCATGTGGCAAGTTTGAAGTACGATTGAGAACAATTTTGTGACAACAGTTCAGTTGTTGCAGACATGCCCTTCCAGTTCAAGGTTGAATTATTTATATTTTTTTCTGGTCGGGAGTTATGGAGATTCTGGGTTGAACTCCAGATTGGACTCACACGAGGTATATCTCCTTGTGTTTTAAGTAGTTATCTGTGT